AAAAATATAAATAAAAATGAAATAAAAACATGTATAAATCAGTGAGTAGTGTATTACTTTGAGATACTTTGCGATTCGACTTTGGAAAGAATTACGGAATTTATGAAAATGAATCTATATTTTCATCTCTGTATCAATCTAACGCGAGGAATATTTCAGACAATCCTAAATGGCAGAAAATATGAAATATTCTTTGTGAACTGTTTTCCACACAGACGGAGTTTACAAAATCTATCCGGCTGTGGCTCTCTTTCATAAAGCCTACTTAGAATTATATTCGCGGGTACTATTACTTTCGCTACTGATTGGCCTTTCGTGTGGAATTTGCCTGCAAGGAGGGTATTTCTTCTGCCTATTATGTTTAACAAACATTTTATTGAGACACTCCAGCAGCTGTTTGATTTCCAGCATGAATATTTTGGGCATATGCCTGAGTACTGCTGGAAGAATAAGGAAACTCTTGAGGCACAACAAAAGGCAACATTTCAATAAAATCATCAGCCAAGAAGAGCGCAACTCATGCACTTCAACTAATTTCTTGAGCTGCCCCTGCAGGTCCGATTCTGGCTGCCCCTGCTCCTTATCTCTGTCTGGAGTGAGGCCTAAATGCACAATAAATGGAAAACTAACAACTGTTCATGGATAGGTAGACACGGGATGGATCTATTGTTATTGTTGTTATTCGTGTTGTCAGCTGGCCTTAAAGGTAGTGGCGAGCACCTTTTCAGTTACCTGTGTAGCACAATTTGATTAGAAAAATATGCTAACACCTCGCGCTGGTCAAACAATGCCATGCTTCATCATCAATTAGAGTTACCTTTCCACAGGGCAGGATCGAGGTAGCTCTTTTATTAAAGCAAGAGCATACCAAAAAGGAAACACCTTTTGGCCACTACTGTAAGCCAGCTCTTTGTTCTCTTTCCTCACCATCTTCGCTCTGCTCCATTAACATTTTCTAATTCTTCACGTTGCGCCTCTGGCATAAATTAAAAATCATGTATATGAATATTTTTAGAAGCATTAAACGCCTTCTTTTTCCGCTTCGGCTTTCAGTTTTTGGTTTTCATTGTTGTGTTTGATTTAAGCCGATAAATGGGCAGAGAGAACTTTAACGCTTCTTACATGCCGCAGCTTTCAACAGATTTATTTATTTGCTTTTATGCATGGTGCCCTGGGCCAGGGCAGCTCCAACAAGGCATACAATTAATGTTGCATGCAACACAGCAACAACCGAGCAGCCAACGATTCAATTGTGCATGCAAATTGATGCCGGAAATTTAAACATTGCATTTCCTGAAAGGGAAACCCGCAGTCGCCAAAGGTGCTGTAAACCCAGCTACCTATCGGTAGTCTGTCTATTTTTCAATCAAATTCAATTTGGCTTAATGCATAAATTCATTTTTTCTATGCACACACGGAAGGGTGTATGACAGCTACCTGAAAACAGGATTTGTTCTCGATTGAATGCTCATTATTTTGCCATTTTATTATACACACTCAAGTGTATGTGAGTGAGTGCGTGCGTGCTGAAGTGTCACTGTATGCAGGCTCTTTATCAATCACCCTCTCCCTTGTCCCTCTTTCTCTCTCACACACTGGAACGCACTTTTGGCGTATTTATTGAATACTTTTGCAGAGGTGAATGAATCGAATCGAATGATTTGAATTGTTTGCCAAGTGTCAAAAAGGGGTGTATCCAGCTGCGTGAGTGAGTATGTGAGTGTGCGTGTGGGTAGAATCGATGTTGAGTACACTCACATACACACACTTCGCAGCACAACAACAATTAGCAACTAAGCTAGGTGGCTGGCAGATTTTAACTGTTTGTAAGTTGAGCAGTGCTACTCAAACTATAAGCTCTCAATGTCAAAGCAAATCATAATCAATTTTTATAATGAAGTGAAAGCATTTGAAAGACTCAGAACCCCTTAAACATATGCACGTAAATATGTATATATATATATCAGCCAAATGAAAAGCAAATAATAAATACAAGGCTGGAAAATTTTAGGACAATGGAGAAATCGAGACAAGCGCATTACAAGGATATCAGTGAAAGGGACTCAGAGAGCGAGGCATTAGCACAGACTCTCGAGCGGCAATGAACAATGGAGAACAAAGCGTTGAGTGTGAAATAAAATGTGCACATAATATGTGTTATCAGAGCACAACAAAAAGGAAAGGAAAGCAGAAACCTTTTTATAAAATGACTCTACCATAAGCGGGAATTCTTGTGAAATAGGAGCTAGGTCATTTTACTTTGGTTTACGCAGGAGAGGTTGCATGGAGTACAATGACCGACTTGACCAAAACTAATCACAGACTTTTGTTCTTCTCCTTCTCCTCTGCAGTTACGCAATGCCATCAATTGTCCTGGCTACTCGGACATTTATGGAACAAATGCAGGCAAGAATCTGGACTTGGCCTTCAAGAAGGGTCAACAATGGAGCAACAAGCTGCAGCCAGCTGTTGCAACAGTCACAGCTGAGGAGCCCGCACAGAGTCGAACGCACAAGGTCTATGACAGTATGAAAAACTTTTTGCAGAGAAAACTTTTCGCACAACCCTCGCGTGTGGAATGCGAGGAGCCGACCAGCGACTATGATGAGGTATGTAAAGACTGAGAAAATAGCTCAAGGAATGTTTAAGCTAATCCATATTGATATTCTCTTTCAGCAGGACCTTCTCGACTCCTCGTACCAGGCAGACGCAGAGACAGACGAGGAGGCGGAGCTGCTGGCAATTTGTAGCTGCAATTCCACTCCGAGCAGCACACCTAAGCGTGTCAACAAATCGCCGCAAAAGTCGCTGCTGTCGCTCAACTGTTGGCAGAGCAGTCAGCCCAGCGACTCCAGCGGCAATGAAGAGGTAACGGCCGAAGACCAAGATGAGTCGGATGCAGGTATCTCCGATTGCTGTCAGCTGCTCAATGAGAACAGCAGCAGTGCCAGCAGACGACGAAGCACCCCACGTAAACGTGCCACGCCTCGCTTTAGCACACACAGCAACAACACGGACGATGATGAGGATGCCGACGAGGACCCAGAGCTACTGCAGTGTGCTTGGTATCAGCCGCGAATTACATTGAAAGCGGCGCAAGAGCATCTGCAGTCGGCTACGCCCGGCTGCTTTATACTGCGTCGCAGCACGCCACGCAGCTTCGAGCTCTGCCTGCGTCTCGAGCACAAAGTCAAGTGCTATGCGGTGCAGTGCAGCAGGAGCGAGATGTACAGTCTGAAAGGTGCACCAAAGCAGTTCAGCACGCTGAAAGCGCTGATCACTCATCATTCAGTAATGGCTGAGCAGCTGCCTCTTACATTGGACATGCCCAGAGAACAGGATCTGGTGAAGACCTCGGCGATGCGCTATGCTGATGACTTTGAACCGCTTGAGTCACTGCAACTCCTGGGCATACTGAAGAGCTTGCAGGCCAAGAGCTATGAGGCATAGTTTTTAGATTAGACATGTAAACGAATTTTATCGAACTGCAAAGGGAACGATAGGTGAAAAATTAATGCTTAGTTATACACAAATATATATATATATATTGTAGTCCTTGTGATATAGTTTACTATAAATTCGACCAGGTTTTTAGCTTTTAAGTCCCTGTGTAACTTAAAGCCAATCAAAACCAATTATCTATATTCTTAAGTCTTTCTATTGTGCAGTAAATTATACGAGCTATCGAATAAAAAGTAAGAATATTGAACAATACAATTTCAACCCCCAACGCCTTTTCTATCAGCATCCTGCCAGCCACGCCCTCTCGCTTCCTTGTGCCTTATGTCTGCATACTGAAGGGTAAGTCATGCTTGTACTTCACTTACATGTGATTAGTGCTTCAAGTGCCTCTCATTAATTTTTCAATTGCGGCTCAGAGCGCTCTTCACCTCAATGCGTTCTGCAACATGTTGCCAACAAGGCCAAACGGCATGTTGCACAGCATGATCAGCAACATTTAGACAGAAAATGGAAGAAAGAAATAGAAATATATGGAGAGAAACAATGAAGGAATATAAAAAATTTGTATGCTATTTTATTTTATTATTATTCTGTAATTTGCAAATTTTTGAGCGTAAGCATCCAAATTAAAGAAAACTGCAATTTGAGATAGAAACTCGAAACTTAGCGACTCAATTGCTGATAGCATATTTTTATATTTATATAAATGTTATAGAGTAAAAGGGATATACTTTTTTGGCTATAACTATGCTATATCCTTGGGGATTGGGCAAGGATTTATTTTTTTTTTTTTTTTTTTTTTTTTTTTTTTGAGCAAGTGGGTCAGGGGACTATCGATTGGCATTTAAATAATTTCAAGATTTGATCAAATATATCACCTCGAATTTTTACAAGGGGTATGGTCGAAAAATGATCCAAGCCCACCTTATGTCATCAATTTAAAGGACTATCAGGATACCCTTTATACCCAACAAAGACATAACCTTTCTTAAGAAGAATTAGCAATCAGAATCATAAAAATCCTTCAAGGAACAGAGAAATATGGACTTTTGTCGCAACAAAAAAGTGCTTATAACTCAGCCGTATCCTTGTGTATCCTGGCAAGTATGGTGTTGAAATGTTGGGTGCCACCAGGACTATCAACTGGCCGAAGGACATCAAAGACGAGACGCCTTGCGAGATATTGGCGATTTTGTGTGTTTTTAGTGATATCCTTGATATCCCAGGCCGCCATGAGGCGAAAAAAGCCAAGTGTTAGATTCTTAGATGACCCCATAATGTTTTGATGGCAATCAATAGAGTTGGTCGTCGTGGTCTCGTCGCTCCATGCCACTTCGTCCTACGCAAGGATATATATGAGTTAGAGCAATTTTTCAGGGAATTTTTACCGGTGGAAGTATGCAATGAAATTAAACTTTTCGCAGATTCTGCAGATAGACTCTGCAAACGGATCGATTTATATCCCACCATTTTTTTCAAAGAAAACAATCCGGTATACTATTTTAAAATAAATTAAAAATGAGACATTTAAAATTGTTAAAATATTTATTATTTACATATATATTATATTATTTATACTAATTATGTAAATTTTGCTCCTGTCCAAGTGCATTAAAATGCTGCGCATAAGAGTATGCTACGCCATTCTGAAATACGCGATTTCAAAATAAAGTTCTATTCTGCCGCAAAGTCTGCAATGTTTTTTATTTCTGTAAGTAAAGATGAAAAAGTAAATGTCATTTAAATACAAATACTGGTTCTACACTTAATAAATATACATATATATATTTATAAAATTTAAATACAAATATTGCACACCGAAATAAATCAATTAATACTGCAAATAATCACAATAGGGGTTTAATAAAAATTAATAAATATACGAAAACGCTGGCACTATTGCTACTTAAATATCGTTTGCCAAGCCTTTAAGATGAATACACATAAGAAAAAAAATATATTTTATTACTTACATATGAGGTTATCAATTACACTTGTATTTTTCTGCCTGAATTTTCGACTCAAAATGCTCAACTTAAAACTATATTTTTCTCAAAAATACAAAATTTTTCTTGGCTCACTCTTTCACAGAGACATCATTGGTTGGCCTCTCTTTCACTTTGCGGCTACGATTTTCTGCTTCCGGTTGCTAACAATGCAATGAGCAACGTTAAAAGTTTCGCATTTCTACTGTATCTTATCGGCTTATGGGTAAGTCGCGCTCACCCAGTCTGCACAATATTCGTAATTTGTCTCTTTTATCCATTAGAGTCTGTCACATGAATATAACGATACTACACTTATAACAGGGGATGGCATAACCGTTTGCCAATACATTGATAATAAAGGCCCATTTGAAACCTTCAAGCGCGGCAAAGAAAACGATACCAAAATTAGAACGAATGTCTACTTTGGATCCCTTGAAACACCGCATTCAAGTAGTAATATTCACAGCAGTATCCACTCGGCTCTCCTACTATCTCTTATAGTGCAGAAACTAGATTTATGGTATCGACAGCGACTTTAGGCCATCATTAAATATTTAATTTAACTTCTACTAGTGTCAGAAGCATTGAAAACGTTTGGAATGAATTAAATAAAATGAGAGACCTTTTACGCACTCAACTCACAAATGAGCTCGGCTCCCAAAGAAGCTCGAGTATGTTTAGTTTATATTCAAAGCTTTTGCTTTTCAAATTAAATTCACAGATGAGCCCAAGAATACGTAAGCGCAACATTGCATCTGTGTGCTGTGCATGTGACTACTGCTGCAAAGACGCTCTCGTTTTTATACATTTTCACACATTTTCATTTTCGTTAACCGCTTACTAATTGTGAAATGAAGCGCATTTTAATTGCAATGCAAATTAAGAGCTGAGGCTGAAGTATCCTTTTTATATGCACATAAATATATGAGTAAATGAACGGGCTTTGAGCAAATTAAAGACAGTTAAGAGCTACATTAATAATTAATGTTTTTAGATTTGGCCTAAATTATCGTACTAAATATTTAATTGATTAGACTTTAAGATTTAATTGATACGAAAATCTGCCATAGTGCCGTGAATGTCCATTGCACAGATTCCCAATGCATGCCTGCGCTCGGCTTTTGTTTAATTAGAAACACTATTTTTCTAATTGAATGCAACGAGAGTTGTTCCGCCAAATTCAATAAATGCAACTACTCGGATGTGACGATGGCCAGCAATCAGACATTCCGCAACAAAAAGGACGCCCGACAGGTAGGTAGATTCACCTGTAGCTGCCAGAACAAAGCAGATTGCAGCAGCAAAAGCAAGAGCAGGGAGCAATGCTGACGTGTGCAATGCTGTTGCCAGGATTATCTGCTGTTTATATGTGATGTGTTTGCAAACCAGAGTGAGATTGCAGGTAGCAGCAGCAGCAACTCCTGCTGCTGGTTGCCATGGCGGCCGACGCCGGCTTTGTGTGTGCCCGATTGCGAATTGCAATTGGCATTGCATAAATGTTGTGCCTTTTAATTAGCACGCACTTCACATCCAACATCTCGATTATCTGCTGTGCATAATTAGAAGCATAAGCCGCAAACGCGTTTTGTGTTTGAATGCGCTTAAAGCTGCCACGCATTGCGAAATGCTTTCAATGCGAGAGTGAATAAGAGCTTGGAGGCGTGAGTGAAAGAGAGAGTAAAGGGAACGGATATGATGTTCCTGCTGCTGTGCTCGAGTGTCCAACGAGGCGTGTAGTATGATGACGTATAACACGCGCCAAGAAAGTGCCAGAGGAGTTGAGTGTAATGTGGAAAGTGCCGAGAAAATTGTGTCAGCACTCGCCGCAGCATCATCAGCAGCAACACCCACTGTGGACTTATTAAGCTGATCAACAGCCCACGCAACGGACTCACTTACCCTTGGGCAACCTATTTTGACCCCAGCACAAGAGAGTACAGAAGAAGGGAAAAATCTACGCTGAATTGTTTTCATACCTATATACACATATATGTATATGTATATATATATATATATATATATATATATATATATATATATACATAGAGAGAGAGAGAGAGAATCAGTTGGCATTTAGCCAGCATGCATATTAAATGCAGCGCATCCTTAACAACATAAAGCCGCCTCCTGCCCAACTGGGTCACCGGCAGAACGGAAGGAAGTCGGCAACAGTTGCGGCTGGCTGAATGAGCAACTAAAATGAAATTGATGAAAGTCAGTAAAATGCAGCGAGGATTCGGTAAGCTTTAGCAGGCAGCCAGAGCGGCTTAAAGGCTTCATTTATTTTAAGCATCAACTGCGTTAATATGATCCAATTATATCGAGCAAAATACATATATCAGCAAATTTGCACAGCGCATCGAATTGAGATTGGAACAGATTTGATTTACTATTGTATATATAGCTTCAGATGTAATACTACGTGGCATATTATTAAGCATACTTTTATATCTTACTCCCATCTTGTTTTTGAAGCAATACTCAGGTTTTTCCTCTGTAACATCATGCCGTTTATTAATTATGCTTTAATCTGGTATATAAAATATAAACCCTGTCTCATTATTATTATTTCACAACAAGACTCAATTAATTTTTATGTTGCCTGAATGCTTTTCCCTCCCTCTTCTCTCTTCTCAACCTTTTTTTTTCTTGAAATAAAAGACTCAAATTTCGCCTGTATCGAAAAGTATCTCTTTCATATTAATTATCCGTTTCCTGAGCTCACCAAAAGATTAAAACGGAACCAAATAGACGAATAAATAAAAAATCCAGCCACATACATATGTGCCTGGACTGGGACATTCCCGTAAAACTTTTAGCTTTTAATGCCGTTAATTAATCGATATACTCCCTACACTTTCTGAAGCTAGCTCAAAATGGCCAACGAACTCATAGCCAGACAAGCAATTAGAAAAACGTTGCAACAGCCGTCAAGTTGTGGCCCCAAACAGAGGAGGCAAGAATGCCACCCCAATTGTCCCCACAGGCAATCCCAACGACAACAACAAAAACTAAAGCAGCAGAAAGAGCATCCCGCCCACATGCCCAGCAGCCACCCGCATCACTCATATGATTTACAGTTTCCCATAGAGGGAGCGACGTCTCTCAAAGGCCTTTGGCAGAAGTTAAGAAATGAAATTTCAAGAAAATTGCACAAACAACAGGAAGTCGACAAACGGCACCCGGACCGAAGCCGAGAGTGGGAAAATATTGTAAAACTCTGGGCTATAAAGTAAATATACACGATACATATCGACACTAGACGGAGGGCGGATAAAGAGAAGCAAAGAAAACAACAAACAGAATGCGAACAGTAGAAAAGTCGTTATCTTAATTACTTTTATAGCTTCGATTTCGTGGAGCACAACAAGCACAAGAACAACTACAAAGTACGTGCGTCTAAGCCAAAAAAAGAGACAGCATCAAGCTGCTGCTGATGCTGCTAGTCAAGTTTAACTTTGAGCATAGACTTTAAACCTTACCCACAAGCATTAAGTACTTATAATTGGAGCAACACGCATGTCGAGAAGGACAAATTCATGGAATAATATGAGCTGAAGGATTTCTGCTCTCCCCTTGCAAATTAGCTTTTCTACTTTCTTCCTCTTTGTCTCCCTTTCAGTCTCATTCTCTTTCTCTTTCTTATTAATTCTCCTCTTGTCTTACAATGTTCTTCTGATTCCCTATTATGATCTGATACTAATGTCTGTAATGTCTCTTCAATTCTCCACACTACGCTTTCTCCCACACACGCACACACGCATATCAACATTGTCAATACAAGAGTACTGCCCCTACTTTTTTGCTATATGTCTTTCGCCATCTGATGCTGTCTCATTAGGTAGAAGGCTTTGCCATAGAAATGCTGTGCAAATTTATGCACTTCATTATGACACATTTTGTCAGCTTTCATCTAGGCATATAGAAGGAGTGGTGAATGAGTGAATGAGTCGGTGCGCTGGGGCGGGGCACGCGTGTTTGCTCAGTTAACACACACCCACTTAATGAAGTGGCGTAGTCATCAAATCCCCACTGAGTTTCGTTCTATTCGGGTTAGTGGAGCTCGTCCTTGAGCTCGCTCACCTTATAGAAATTTAATGAGCTGCCAGATAAATAATACATGTGGCGCAGTTAATTTCACACAGTTGAAACCTTTAAACTAGCACTTAATTAGCATTGCGTATACGAGTCCGTACGAAAGTGAGCCCGGGCTGGTGCTGGTCCCGGTGCTAGAGTTTTTCAAAGCAGCAAATCAATTTGCCTAGATGCCCGGAAGCCTCACAACGGATATGAAAGACGACTGCCTGTGGCAATCCACAGCCATGACATGGCTTTTGAAAAGTAATAAACACCAACAAAAATAACAACAACAGCGACGACCAAGACAACATCAGCAACAACAGCAAACAATATTCAGCTGAGCAACAATAACAACAGCGAGGCTTTTCAGAGTTGGAAATTATTTTGACATTTGACTGTGGCCGCAAAAATATATTTGTGATTATATACGGGGGCATACCAAAAGTGCTAGGGATGCCAACATCAATGTGCTGTTGACAACTTGAAAGTAGCAACCGAAAGCACTATAACAAGGTGGGCGTGGCTGCAGAGGCAGTGGGGGACGGACCGGCTGGGGCTCGTCTGTTGGCATGACACTTTGCTCATTGAAGTGCGGCAAAGTTTTCGCTTGTTAATATTGAGACGCGCATTATTTATGCCAAACTTTTTAGCAACACTTTGCGATTGATGGGCGTGGCTGGCGTGTGCGTAACTCAGTGTCCGGGCTACTCTGGCTCGAGCAACTTTTAACGAGTTGTCGACTACAAACTGCAAATGTTTGCACCTAGTCACAAGCACTTTTTGCGCTCACTTTTGCATCAAATGCAAGGCAGAAAAGTTGAAAGCTGCTTAACTCGTTGCAAGCACACAAAATAGAAGTTGCTCGCAACTTGACAATCATACGCAACGTTGCGCCTGCAAGCATCTGCCTTTCCATCCACAGATGTACTTGAAGCGCCTTTAAGCTCGACTCGAGTTTCTGCTTCTGCTTCTGCTTATTGCAGATGCCGAGCAGAGGGCGAAAGCATTTTATGATTACCACATGAGAAATGTTGAAAATTTCATTAGTTGGCTGCGTTGTTCCTCCACACAAGTGGACAGCTGACCCCAAACCAAAATCAAGATAATTTTCTCTTGTTGCTGGCGAGGATTGCATAAGTGCTATCGTATAACTTTTTAATAAAGTGCTAACTATAGGAATAGCATATGATAGAGACAGAGATAGAAATATATGCATGCAAAAAATATATTCAATAAGAATACCTTATGTAATATCAAATGTAAATGCAGTAGAATCTCGATCATTCAAAATGGCAGGGGAATCAAATTTTTTTTTTTTTTTCGATTTACACAGAAATTTAAAGAGAATTATTGACAACGAATTTCTTTCAAAGGAATAGAATTTTTTCGATATAGCGGGGTACAAATTATCGAGAGTAGACTGTATATCATATTCCTGATATACTGTTGACTTACTACAAATATATTGTAATTGCAATGTTATATTTATAGTCCTACAATGATGGTATCGGTTCCCATACACTTCATACATTCTGCTTCATTCCATATAAACTCGCA